ACTTGCACTGGACCATATTCTGATCAGAAAGAAATAGTGATCTTAACAAAGAGCTTTTGTTGTCCATCCTTTAACTGCTCTTCTGCCACAGAATTTTGGGTTGTTTCTGGCGACCTCCACATCGCAGTCAGTCGAGCCATGACCAGACTCTCCCTCCACTTGTAAGCAGAGTGAGGCATGGGAGCTTTCCACTGGGAGGCTTTGGCCTTGCACTTGAGCTCTGGGTCTCTGTTCCTGTCATGCTGTCAACTCCAGCATCTCCGAGTGGCTTCTTGGGGCTAAAGACACAGAAGCTACACTCTGGCTCTTGTGTTTGATGTGAGGAGATGTGCGTATTGCAGTAGGGCAGCTGGGGAGATGCCACAGGCCTGACATGCTCAGGGCAGGGTGGGAACCTCTGGATTTAACACAGCTGAGAGCAGAGCAGTGGGGTAATCAGATCACAGTGGTAGTAAGCAGTTCTTTAAGAGGTGTCAGAAATGCCTGCTCCTAACTGAAGGGCACTGAGATGCAAGTGCTTGGTCTCATCCCAGAAAGTAAAAATAAGAAGTAAACCATGTGATGACAGCATCTGCAGCAGAGAGCAGAGTGGCTTGCATGAATTAACAGCTTCCTGGCTGCTGTCTGTGGCAGCCTTAGCCTAACACATGTGCTGTCACCCATAGCTTCTGTGGGCTTAGGCCTCAGGGTGACACTTTGAGTCGTGCTTCAAGGCAAAGTCACCAGTCCCTGAGCCATGGACAAATGAGAGCTGGAGAAGATCTGCTTCACAGTGTGAACTTTAACCCTTCAGAACCTCCACAGCCCATAGAGATTAATAGCATAACAAATTCTGTATTGCACAAAGCTAGGGGAGGCAGAGTTGACCAGACTTTCCACACTTCTTCACCCCTCTAGCCCAAGAGGAGCAGGCTATTGGGTTGACATCATGCTGCTTGAAGCATAGCATGGTGGTAATTTTGTAAAATGAGGACATTATTCTTGCAGAGTCCTTGAATGGTTCAGATCTCCAAAGAGCACCGGAGGGTGGTAGCTACCTGTGAGCTGATCCGAATAGGGATGTGCCACGGCCTCAGTGATTTACATCTGAACCCTCTTGGATGAAATTTTGATCACTTCTCTTCATAGTGGCAAAGGGAGTTACTGAGAGCTGATACCTAGGATCTTAAACACACTTCTGAGCTCCATCATGACATCTCTTTCTAGGCAGAGCAGGGCACCTCACAGTGACATCTCCTTAAAGCTCAGCATGAGGTTTATGCAGATGCAGGAACTCCCTTATTGGGACTGAAAGATAACACGTTTCAGACCTTCCCTTAGCCAAACACCTCCAGAAGCTCCTCTAAAGTAAGGAACTCATGCTGGATACCCATGAATCCAGTGGCAGTAGATGGAGCCACAGCACCTAAGCAAGTGGCAGTGTCCCACTGCATTGGAGACCCGCTCTGGATAGGAGAAGGAAGAGGAATCCCCTATTTTCCCCCAGATAAATATCCACTAGAATTTTCTTGCAGATGTTTCTTCTGTGGGGCAAGTCCAGGATCACCACAAGAAGAAACCTTGGTCACAGGCACCCCTGTTTGCCGCAGGCAGGGACCTGGCTCCATCCAGCCTCCTGCGAGCAGAAAAGGCTCCCTCGCCTCATTGCCTGCATGCTGGAACCTGGGGGCATCAGGCAGACAAAGACAGACAAACTGGGGGGGGGGGGGAGGGGGGGAAGCTCTTTGCCCCCACACAATGACTCCAGCAGAGCTGCTCCTGCCCTGCACCAGACTTGTAGGGAGAGTGCATGGACACAGGACACAGGGAGAGCAGAAATAAACGCGCTGGGAGAAAAGCCTGGCAATTCTCCACAGGCTCAATGTACATGATGCAAATTGATGTTTAAAGCCTATTTATTAGCTTGCATGCAAAATGCCAGCGGTGTTTTTCTAGATCAGTGGGTATCCGATATTTTGGGGAGGGGAAGGGGACAGGGGGTGCGGTGGGAGCGAGTGTGGCGAGAGACCGTATATCCAGAGGCAAGGCTTTATATCATGGGCTGCTCTCGACTGTTATAATTTGTGGCACAGATTCAGCGAGAATCTGATCTGCTGAAAATATTTGAGCTGTGAAAACTCCCACACTGTGACAGATGTCAAGTCCAATTAAGAGACTCGTGTCCAGGTTTCTGTCCAATAGGATTTCCCATTAAATATCAATTTAAGAGGGAAAAAAATGCCGTCCCCTTTTTCTCTGAGTCTTTATCTCTTCCAACCATCTCTCGGCTGAACCCTTTGGCACCAGGAGCGGCTCTCCGAGTACATCTCCGCGCTGTCTGTCTGTCTTTCCGCATCCCTCCTCGGCTGCTCAGTCGCTCCGGGAGGAGTGGGAGGAGGAACGACACTTTTATTTTGCGCGTGAGCGCACCTCGTGCTGCAGCCTTTCCCAAATCCGCGGCGAGATTTTTATTTCTTGGGGTTTGGTGGGGTTGTTTGTTTTGGTTTTTTTTGGGTTTTTTTTTTTTTTTTTTGGTTTTTTTTTTAATCTGTTTTGTTTTGCTTTGCTTTCCTCACGTCCTCTCTTCATTCTCACTCAGAGATGCAGGAGGAGTTGGGAACCTCGGGAGTGGATGAGGGATTCTTTTCTCCCCCTCTCCAGCTCCTGAGGGACCGGCTGAGAAACTACTGAGCCTAACATTTGTCTCCTAACGGGGTCTCCCCTTCTCATCTGCCGGAGCTGCGAAAACTAACCGAACTGTGTGTTGCGTCAGAAAAACAAATAAAAAGAAGAAAGAAGGAAACAAGAAGGAAAAAAAAAAGAAAGAAAGAAAGAAAGAAAGAAAGAAAGAAAGAAAGAAAGAAAAAAAAAGAAAAAGACAAAAGGAAGATACAGAGAGAGAAGAAAGGAACGAGCGCTGTGCCCCGACCCGCTCCGGGCACCGGGCCGGCCCTGGCGGAACAAAGCGGCCCCACCGCCGGCTCCGCACCCCGGCTCTGCGGAGAGGCCGAGGGGCGGGGAGGGGAGCAGCCCCGCTGGTGGCACCTCCGCATCCCTTTTGTTATTGATCCTGGCAAGAGGAGGACGAAGAAGGCGAATAATTTTTCTTTTTCCCCCTAAACGCGGCTCGTCGCCTCTGCAGCCCGCTGCCCCGAATTAACGGGCGGAGGAGGGTTCGGATGGGGGAACGGCTCTTTTCTCCCCCGATGCATCGTAAGTAACTTAAGTTGTTATTTATACTCCGTCACCGAGCACGGCGATAACATCTCCGGAGCGCTGGAGGCCGCGGCGAGGGATGAGAGCCTCCCTTCCCCACCCGAGCAGGACGCCGCTCAGCTTCTAATTCCCTCCGTTTGATTATTATTTTTTTCTGAATTGTTCCATGCTCTGCTGCCGGAGGCGCATCTGAACTGTAAAGGCACCGCCGAGGGGGCGAAGGGACCCGAGGGGAGCGGCGGTGCGAGCGGCGGCGCCGAGGTAAGCGGCCCCGCGGTGCGTCCTGCCCCGGCTGTGCGGGGTGGCCGGGGGAGGGGGGAAGAAATAGAAAGGAGCCTCTACCTGGTTCGGATCGCGGGAAACAACCGCGATAAAAGCGAACCAAACGGAGATATTCATCTCACAGCGTAGAAAAACCTTAAAGCAACTTTCTCCGGGAAGCACCTCTGTCGTTGCTCGTTTTCATTCACGTCTTTCCTTTCCCCGCCGGTGCGCTCTCAACCAGCCTGCCCGCTGGGGTCTCAGCTGAGCGGGGATTCTACTCTTATTTTTTATTTTTTTGTTTATTTTTTTTCCTCCCAAGAAGTAGCCGACTCGCTGAGCTGCCCTTATGTTACTCCTCACCCCTGCCTTGCGGGCCTATTAACATCCAGGGTGCCTATTAACATCCAGGGGGGAAGGACCTCTCCCGGCCCCGGCGAGGCTCCCTGCTCGCCCAGCTCTCTGGCCGCCCCTCCGTTCCGTTCTCTATTCTTGCCTTTGATTTTCCCCGAGAGCCGAGGCGGACTTTGCCAGGGAACTTGACAAGGAAATCCACGGCGATGGGATTTTTGGAGACGGGCCGTGCCCCCTCCCCTCCCCGCTCGACACCCCCCGACTCGCACACACGCACCCGGCATAACACATACACCGCGTCCAAGGTTATCCCCGAGCTCTGATGTATTGTTTTATTACATGCCGGCATGTCCCCGTACGCGCCCGGGTTTGTGCTGCTGTCTACATGACAGATGGTGCTCCGTGAGGCCGCAAGAAGCTACGATTCAATTTTCTTTTGAAAGGCACCACCGCACTTATTTATTTATTTCCCCTTTCTTCCTTTCCCCCCCCTCCCCACTCCCCCCCAATCCTTTCCGCGCAGGGAGGGGAGAGGAGGGAAAATTTAAAGGAATCGGGAAGTTCGGGCCCTGCTTTGGGGCTTTTCTACTTCTTTCATCGTTTGTTTCTTAATTCGCACCTAAATATATATATATATAGAAAATAAAACCTGCGGCTCTCCTATAGTCCCCATATAATCGCCGGAGAATACCACGACTAGTGTCAGGAAAATAGCAGTAGAAATAATAATAATAACAATAATGAAAGTAGCGCAGAGCAAAGAGCAAGTGGAGATCCGGGCACACGCGGCAGATCCCGCAGTTCGGACTGGGGAAATGAATTTCCCCGCAAGGTTTGGGAGCCTCGAGCCGGGCTTTCCCCTGCTTATTTACCAGCGGCGGTCTGCAGCCCGCATCCCGACAGAGCAATGGTGCGGCGGCGTTTGGCAGGGGAGAACGGAGGTATTCAAATGGCAGGAAAACAAACCGGCCCGATTTGAGCCGCTGGATGTTAGCTCGTTAGTAAGGCGGGTGTATTTCTTTTCTCGCTTTCCGGGGCCGCTCGGACAAAGGAGCGAGCGCTGGCAGCTCCGCGACGGAGCGCGGCCGCGGGGAGGCGGCGGTGGGGGCAGCGCTCCGCCGCGGGACGGGGGCTCTGAGCCCGCTCTCTCTGCTTCTCTGTCCCGGGAAGGCTCCTCCGCCCCCACCACGATGATGCTCAGCCCGGACCAAGCGGCCGACTCCGACCACCCCTCCTCGGCGCCCTCCGACCCGGAGTCCCTGGGCGGCGCGGACGGCCGGGCGCTCAGCTGCTGCGTCTCCGACCCGGAGCCCGCGGAGGGCGGCGGCGGAGGGGGAGGCGGGGAGGGTCGCGGCGGGGGACGGCCGGGGCTGCACCCGCCGCCGCTGAGCCGCGAGGAGAAGAGGCGGCGACGGAGAGCCACGGCCAAGTACCGCTCGGCCCACGCCACGAGGGAGCGGATCCGCGTGGAGGCCTTCAACCTCGCCTTCGCCGAGCTGCGGAAGCTGCTGCCCACTCTCCCCCCCGACAAGAAGCTGTCCAAGATCGAAATCCTGCGCCTCGCCATCTGCTACATCTCCTATCTCAACCACGTCCTGGACGTGTAACTCCCTCCCGACCCGTCGGCCCCGCGGAAGCCGGAACGGGGCGCGCCGCCGGCGGTCAGCCCGGCCCCCAGAGCCCGCGGGCGGCCACGGGGCAGAGCGGGGCCCGGCGGAGGGCGCGGAGGGCTTCTCCTCGCGGTCGCGTCGCAGCGCTGCTTTAAGCAGAGAAGTGTAAAATGGGATCGTTCCTTCAGGCTGTCAAGTGCCCCTTTATATATATCCAAAAACATCTTCTTGTGACCTTAAACGTGTGACCCGTGGGTGCGGTTGAAAATAACTATTTTTTATTTATGGTAGAAGGAGTTGACAATTTATTTTTTTCAAGACTTATTTATTTTTCAGAGTGGTGGCAATTTTACTTTGGATACTTTGTGCCAATTGTTTTCTATAGTCGGGTGTTTACACTTTCTCCTGTGGAATATTACGTTTGTAAGTGTGCGTTGGGATCGAGGCAGTGCTCTGTTTTGGTTTACTTTCTTGTTTGTTTGTTTCGCTCCGATTATATTGCACTCGTGTGTGACAAACCTTCCCTCCCTTCCCGTTTCTATTTTATATATACCAAGACGTTTGTTGGCCTTCTTTTCTTTTCTGTGTGCGTGTGTGTGTGTGTGTGGGATGGACAACCACTAGCACTTAACTAGGAGAGTTTTTTAAGACTTGTCGTTCTTCTGATCTATAGTTCCGTCTGAGAAGTACTTTGCAAATCGTTTATAAGGGAAGTAGTTCTTTTGTGGGTGTATCGCTGCGTGTGCCTATAGGCGGATGTGTGTGGGGCTGAGCGTGGCCTGTATGTGTGCGGTATATTTTTAGGTAAGGACTTTTTTTTTTTTTCTTTTTTTTTTGTTTCCTAAAAAAAAAAATAAAATAAAATAAAAAGAAGTAAATCCAGGACTGCTTTCCTTTGTGACAACCAAAAAAAAAAAAAAAAAAAAAAAAAAATTGCTATAACCTGAAAATGTTTCATGTCCTTTGCTGTGAATCTCTTAAAGCAAGAAGCGCATTCTAGGGATGAGAAAGAAAAAGAAAAAACAGCAACAAAAAAAAAAAACACATCTGCTATCCAAAGATTTTAGTCTTTTTCAGGGTTTTTTTGTGTGTCTCTGTTGCTTTATATAATGCAATATTTTGTAGTGAAAATAGATAAATCTGGTTTCTATCTGATACGTTTTTCATATCTCTCATGAATGGTGACCTGTTTTGCATATAAATAAAAGTATCAAATAAATGCTGTTTTTTTCCTAATTATTTCTCCCCGTTGGTCTTTCTGTAAAAACGAGGGTTGACAGACTCTACTGCCTGCCTTGTGAACAAGGCTTGAAACCTGCTCACGATGTGCATGGAAAGCTCCAACAGGTTCCCTGCCCCTTGCTTGTGTGAGGCGGCCACCCCCCAGCTCAGCTGCCGGTGTGTGGATGAGGCACAGCAGCACGACTGTCACTGCTGCCCCACAGCAACCTGTGCTTGGCTGCAGGCTTCAAGGCTGAGGCCGTAACAACAAACCCGATGCTGGGAAGCACCTGCTTTGCTGCACTGCTCTTTGATATGTCCAACTTCGCAACCAAAACACACGTGTTGCATCTTGCCTGCATGGAGTGGATTTCCTCGCTCTCGTTTAAATTTGGTTATGATCCCGGTCATGTCAGGTCCAATTCTATTGAAACCAAGCAATAAATCTTGTCCTATCCTTACTTACGAGAACCTCATCTGTTCTCCTTTATAAGGCTCCACCACTGACAGGGGAAACATGATGCAGACACAGACTCAGTAACAGAAAGGTTACTGCCTCAGTAAAGCAAGACCTCGCTGCCACCTGACTTATTACATTCTTTTCTTCTTTACTGCAAGGGGTTAATTTTACCCACAGTTTGAACATTGCCATCGACATGGGCAGGCTGCATTCAGTAGTAGCAGCACATCCATTGTTACTCGCTTTAGAGATAAAACCCTCCCTCCCCTCCCATTTTTATGGCTGACACTTTGTGCAGTGGTTTAATTAAGTGTGGTCTTGCCCAGCTGAAAAGCTGCATGCAGAAAACCTGTCAGAGAGGCTGTTAATTCCACTTTCTACCAATGCACACTTCCCAAGTCCCAGGGGACAAACACAGACTGGGTAGTTCAAGGCACAGTTATCAAATCCAGCAACTTGCAGTGCTGAAATAACTCCGCTGCTCTGGAGATGCTCTGCTTCAGGACAGCCTTGTTTCTTGGCATCTGCCAAAGTTTGGACACTGGGTCAAGTCTGATGTGCAAGTCCTGCCATCCAGCAAATCTTCCTGCTACCAACATCCAGGAGAACTTAGTTAATATAAAGATTAACATGTTTTTTCCTTTCCAAGTGTAGGAATGCATGTTTAAGGGAAGAGAGGACGGTGACTGCAGCTATCAGTGCCTTATTTTGGCACACAGGTTGTGGGATAAGGAGATGTGAACACATTGTCCCTCTGCCCACCTAGGGTGTTGCAAACACATATTTTGGAGTAGTGTAAACATCAGCTCACAGGCTGAGAGATGGTCTAGCGTGGGCCCCACAATGATATTTGCTGATATCCCTGATATCAGCCCAAACGCGTCCTGAGTTTCGGAGACATAAGCACAGCACTCCTTGCCCCAGCAGTGAGGCCAATCCCCCACCAGTGCACACTCTTGCAAGTGTCCCCACCACGCTCCTCATGGTCTCTTTGCAGTGAAGGCTGCAAGGTTGGGCTCCTGGCCCAGCAAGGTCCCTATCCTACAAACACGGATGAGAGTATTGCCAAGGTGGCCGGGTACTGCTCAGATTGGGAAGCAAAAGTCTTCTCTGGGTTCAACCATTCCTACCATTCCCCAAGACAACAGAGAGCATGATTGTACTCAGAGAGAAGGCAGGAAGGGCTTTGCTTTTGCTGATAGCAGAAAGATCCAGCCTCACTTTTAACCTACAGAAAGGCTGGGGTGCATGACCTGAAGATGTGTCCTTTTCTTCCAAATGCAACTATTTATCCGGTACAGAAAATTGCTTCTCCCTGAAAAATCCATCTCACTTCCATCCACTCACCACCTTGCTCATGTTCTCTCACCACTGTGACATCAGCAAAACCACTTCTGTCTTTCCTCCTGGCATCAAGAAGGAAGTCATTCTTATCTAGCAGCTGATGACCACTGAAAACAAGACGTAGGTTTTTTTCTCCCACATCCCCCTTAAAAAAATACAGATTAAGAAAGATCTGAATAGTATGAACAAGTTACAAGGACAACACAGTGAAAAGGCTGCATGACTAAGTGCTCTAAACTCTGGATTTATGGACGAGTAAACAACATAAACTCCATCTCATTGCAAATCTGCATTACAGAGTGATAAATTCTAATTATGTAATCAAAGTTACTTTGCCTACATCTGTGTTCCCTCGGCAATACAGGACTGACTGATCTTGCACAATGTTATGGTGGGAACAGGATGGAATTGCTCAATGGAAGGTTACATCATGTTCAGCCAGTCCAACAACCAGACCTTTTTGCAGGGCAAAAAGAAGGAGTTAATATTTCCTGGGTTTGTAGTGATTAACGTTAATGTTGAAGCTACATTCAGGTTTTGTTCTTTCACATTTAAAGAGGAGCTCATCCTGCAGACTGAGAAAGAAAGCACATTCAGAGACAAAGAAGGCAGAACCCCAAGAGCATCAGTTAGGGCTAAAATAAGTGGTTTAAGCCCAGTTCAGCCCTATATATAAAACACAGCACTCATGTACAGAAAGCACTTTGAATGTATAGATCTCTAATACCCCAGTAACCACAGATATCCAACATCTCCTAAACATAAAATAAGATGTTTTAATGCGTTTACAGACGTATATAGATAGACACAAATAGATATAGGACACAACATGCATTTACACTGATACTGTTAGGAAATGGGGTAACTAACAGATTCAGCTGAACCCTGCAAACAGATCCAGACTCTGATACAGCAACTGCAGACAATCAGCAAGCCAAAAGTAACCTCTACCAATAAACACGCTGATATCCGTGCGACTACAGTACAAAGTATTGTCTTATTCCACATGTGAACCAGGTAGTATATTACCACTTATATTTACAGCAGAGAAATACTGAGGGCCTTGGCTACGATTTCATATCTTTGCTGTGTTTCTAGCAAAGAGTGCATGTGTGTGTGAGAGAGGGAGAGACATGGGGGGGTGGGGAGCTGAAGGGGCTGTTGTGTGTATGAAATTCAACAAAGAGATGGATCTTTTCCATTATACAGCCATGAAGAAATACCAGAGACATTCTATCTGTTCATGTATCCAGCCATCCTGTAACCCAATTAACCCGGTCCTTTTAGGAGGAATAAATACGTTCTAATATCAGCCATTATTTTTCAGTGCTCTCCGTTTATTCTCCAGGGTGGGACAGATCAATAACCACAATAGCAACCGACCCAAAAGGAAAAGGCAATCTCCTGGCACTTCTTATTTATTTCTTCTGAGCCAGTTCTGTTTTTGCCGTCTCTTCCCCTGGTGACGGATTTTGCCTTTCCTGCCCAGAATGGCCACGTCGCTTTATCCTGGGCTCTATTTGCATGTGGGCTTCAGATTTGTCTTTGGCTCCTCACGCGGTTTGGGATGAGACTCTCCTGTCCCCAGAGAGGGGGGCAGGTGTTGCTCCAGTCGAGCGAATGGAACCAAATTACAGGACCGTCTGTCGCCTCCTCTGGGAGACGGCGGAGGGAGGGAAAGGCGGGGTGGGGAGCGGGATGCCATATGACAGCAAAGAAAAGCAGAACATCATACTGATGCCGATAAGAGCTTGGAAACATGAGTCACCCCAGCCCACCGCCCCACCCAAAACTAGGCAGCAGCCACCTGAAAGAGAAATGTCAGGAGCAGAGACAGAAATAAATTGAGTCACTGGGCTGGAATAACTCGGGCTTGGAGTGAAACGGAGCTCAGACCCAGTCCACTCGCAGGCGCATAAGCGCAGGCACAAAGTTGGGCTGCCTAACACAGCTTTCTCAACTCCTCACTGCA